GTAACCCTATTATACCGGCTGAGTTGCTCGTGTAGCAAGAACCCATCTTGAACTCGGTTTGATCTACATAAAGCTGATACGAACCTGTTATACATCATGTCACTGGGGGTATGATTGTGGTCAAGAGCAGCAACAATCAACTCATTTACCCTGTCGAGCTTCCCCTCTTTACAAAGAGAATTTGCAATGATGGATAGTGTCCTTCTGCCTGGAAAATAACCTTGTTCGATTGCATTCCTCAGCACACGGGAGGCGTCATCATTGCTTGCATCACCCATTAGAGTGTTTATGAGATAGTTATAAGCCATACTGTTGACAGAGAGATGAAACTCTGCTCTTGCATCATACAGTTCAAGGGCGACTTCAACCATTCCCACTTTGCACAAGAAACATAAAGTGACATTCATGGTGACCTCATCTGGAGATATACCTTGGTCTTTCATCTCCAATAACCAATCATAAACCTCTTCAAGTCTGTTCTCCCTTAAAAGCCTACACAATAAAGTGTTATATCGGAAATAAAGAGGAATATGCCCATCTACCATATTTCGTTCTTTCAAAAACTCTAAAGCTCCATCCAGCTTTCCTGCCCTGACAAGGTTATTAATCCACGCACTGTAAGCATGATCCATGTAGACCAAACCAGACTTGCGAAACTCTTCCAGCAACAATCCAGCCCTCTCAAAATGTCTTTCCTTTGAAAGAGCATCCACAACAGTGGCCACTACAACCCCATTCAACCCAACCCCACCATCTCCTAACAAACCCCTAACAAAAGCTTCGGCCTTGTCCAGCTCACGCCTCTTACATAGACTCTTCATGAATATCGAATTGGTGACTGCATTCTGGAATCCGTTGGTCTTTATCTCCTTTAGAATCATCTCAAAAGCATCATAGAACTCATCATCCACTAACGCATTGAGAAGGACATGATAAGCAAAGTAGTCTAAATTGGTGCCACTAAATCGCATTTTGCCGAACACCTGGAGTGCGAGATCGGGTTTCCCTGCAATGGAGTACCCAATGACCAAAGTGTTGTGGAATCTTAATCTGTGGACATATCTCTGATTGCCATGATTCTCCAAGAACTCAAGCATCAAGTTATTGAGCTTGGCTTTCGAGAGAATCTTGAAAATGGCAGCGAACGTGGCCTGGGTATGGAAGAACCCTGGCTGGCGACCCGCCCAATCAAAGAATTTCAAGCAGGATAGCACATCTCGACCCTTCTCGTGGTTCAAAATACCTAGAACTAACGTTTCCGACAGACGGAGATTGAAGCGGCTCAAAGCTAAATCGGCCGATGGTTCGTCTTTAGTTCGTAAGATATCGTAGATTCGGTCGAAATTCGTGTTCTCCCTGCTCAGGAACCAATCTTTGAACGACAAAACCACGTCCTTTGTGTGAAATTCGCAGGTATTTGACGTTTGAGTAGGATTGGAGAGGGGAGCTGATGAATGAAGGCACTCGTGCGAAAAAAGAGTGTACGGATGGGATGAAGATAACGACTCGACGGCCGCGGCTCTGGTGGCGCCGGCGGTGGAGGTGGAGTATAAGAGGAAGAAGAAGAGGTTATTGTTATTATTGCTCTTGGTGGGCGATGGGGAGATCAAGCTTTTGGCATTTTGGCACCCTGACCTAACCATTGGCCGCATTATTGAGTTGTCCGTCGCGGTTCTGCAACAGCAGGCGGGTATTAATATGTCCGGGCGGCGGTTTGGTGGATGCGCGGCGGCTGAGGCGGCGGCCCTATCCCAAGCGGCTTCAGAGCTTGTCGAACATGACAGACAGAAAATGGAAACCAACCGCACAACTGAATCAAGGGTACTCCATCACCAAATAAAATGACTCGTTTTAAGTCCATGGTAATTTTTTTGAATTAAACTAAGATTAAATAAGTATGATACTCCGTAATTTATTTTACGGAGTAGTATACAAATTATTCCATTAGATTTGTACTATTGAGAATTTTTATAATTTTACGTTATTATAATAATATGCGATATAAACTGAGAGTAATTTATGATTAAATTTAGTCTAGTTTGGTTCGAAAAAACTAAATTAGACGAATAGATTGGAACAGAAAAGGTATATTATTTCCTTCATCTGAAATTAAACTTCTCATTTTTCTTCTTTTCAGGCTTGAATTAATCTTCTTATTTTAATTGTTAACACATAAGCTACTCTAAATGTCTCTCACTCACTTTTTGTATGTCCCTTTTCTTCTTCTTTTCTTACTAGTCCATTATTTCTTCTAAATTCGAACAAACTCTGCATCAATCTCCCACCGCTTCTTCTCCATCCTCTTCTTCTTTTTCTCCCTTTGCCTTCTTTTTCTCCATTCAATCTCAGTCAATAATTAGAGTGAAAAAATACAATAATGTCTATTATTATAAATTTGCAATTGCAAGCACAATAAATGAATATTACACATGCAACAAGTTCTATACTTCGAATGCATAGCTCAAGCGGTTAATAGGAGATGCAAAAAGATGTTTGATCAAATTTAACTTTTAACAAATCATCTCACTTGAGATTAAAGTTTTACTTACCTTCATATAGTACTAGATCTATACTATGTAACATATAATTGTTTTGACTAAATTTAAATTGCTTAAAAAAATAGCTAGTCGATGAATTACCGGTATCAAAATGAAGTGTCTCATTGAAGGTGTTACTGTACATAATATTCACGGAACTTCTAGTATCAACCAACGTTTAGTGAATTACCACATTATTGATTTTTAAGCTCCCAACGAGAGTGCCCTGGTGAGGGCTTGTGAATGCAAGGAAATCATCATCCGTGAACACAATAAAATCCCTTGTAGTCTTCTTGGGCAAAGGCAACCTCTAAATTCCGGCTATGTTTTGTCGCCATATTCCATCGTTAATTTAGCGTTTTTTAATGTTCATCCATTTCTTTCTTGTTGCCGTAGAATCTCCTTATGTGTTGCCCTATAGTGTCTTCGTTGTTATCCCTCATCTTCATTAAGGTCGTCACTCTCCGGACCTAGATGTCTCTTCTTGGTGTCCCGGTCATCCTGGTTTATGATGGAGATAGGCTTGATATGCTTCATCTATGTCGTATGCACTCTAGATGTCAGAATTTACGGACCTATATGTCCTCCTTGGATACTACCCTTATAACGGCGATCTGATCCATCTCATTCTTAAGGGTGATTCACTTCTTTGTATGACGCGAACTATTCTCATGATACTCTTGCAAGATCCTTCTACTTATCAATGTATCCCTTTGAAAATCTGATTAACCATTCGCAAGATTATCCCTCTAGTATCACTAATAGGAAGCGACAATTAATCTCCTATAGATATGTCATCATAACCACACTGGCATGGAAACATGACAGATGATCTTTGGGATTTGTTTTGACTTGTGGGGTAGGAAGTTGACTGGTAACAGATAAAACATAATTGAGTTTGTGAATGCCGAATGGAGTGATCTCCTCCAAAACAACATGGTATAGTAGGGGCTCTTGGCGTTCACCTTCTTCTTAAGTTCCCCCACAGCCTTCCATAGTTCACCTATGTCTCGCTCATTTAATTTATTTGTAGCTAGGGGTGTAAACGGATGTTAATCCAATCGGATGTGCCATTACCAAGTTCGTATTCGTTTATTTTAATTGAATATTGATTTCAAATACAAATCTTGGCAAATACTAAAAAATCAAAACTGTATCCGTATTCATCAGATATTGATCGGATATCAGATGTATCTGTATTCATTTCTAAGTTTCCAGAGTCAAATTAAACTATATACAGAGCAGATTATATAAACAGTTTTAATATATTCATTGAATTTTAGTTTGTTATGAAGTACTCCCTCCGGCCCTAAAAACCTTTCCTATTTTATTTTTTTTTTGTCAAATAGGAACACTATTGGACCATAAATTTAACATAATCTAAATAAATAAATGATATAAAAAGTATGTATTTCAAAACTATTTCCTTAGATGAACCCAATTATATTAAATTTATATTATAATAAATATACTTTCTCGCAATTAGTGGTCAAAGGGTATCACTGTTTGACAAAAAAAGTCAAAACGGAAAAAGTTTTTAGGACCGTGGTAGTATTTTTCTTATTTTTTGTAACTTATATTATTTTACAAAAAATCCCGTATGGTAAAAAATATTACATACTACACACACATATTTGTGCATCTACACATATATTTTAGATATAAAAATGTTTTATACTTTGAGATTTTCATAGAAAAATAAAATAAAAAATAAAAATTCGGCAAAAAGTATACATAACGGATCATATACACGAATAAACGGTTACTCAATGGAATATTTATGTGGAATGGGTTATAAACGGATCGGATGCATCATGACCAAATCCGTAACTGTTTACCAATCATATATTCTTAATCGAATGCAGATAATAATTATTTTAAACAGATGCCGATATTTTTTGTGTAAACAATTTTTTGGTTATCAATTTACAATATTATTTGTGGGCGACTTTGTGTCTCCTGTGTTACTGGGCAATGCGCTCACAATCATAGGCCGAGAGGCCCACTCTTAGAGGGTAAAGCCCAAATGGGAAAATTGACAATGTTTTCATGCAAATTGAAAAGTTTACTCAATAAGGAATACTTATGAGCTTGTTAAAAGATGTTGTGGGATTACACATATTAAAAATGATTAAACACTGCTCTTTAAAAAAACAATGCCAAAGGTTTAATTTTGAAGAATAAACTACTCAAATAAGACTAAATATACTCTAGTAAACATATACCAAAATAAGAAATTATACGTTTTTATATAGAATATGAGTGTTGGCATTTTGAGATGGATGTTTGCGATTTCGCACTGCGTGTTAATATTTTACATTTTTATATACTATAAAATTTATCTTGACAAAATCCTTGAATATAAATCATACTTTGACGTAACATATTTTAGTCCTAATCAGATATTCTCTCCGTCTCAAAGTATTCTTTTCAGTTTGATTTTTTCGAGTCAAACTGAATGAATTTTGAATTTCAGTTAAATAAAACTGTAATGTATCTATGTACAAAAATGGATATATTAGATTTATTTTTTAAAAAAATTTTAAGAATTTTATTTTATATACTAATATGCAATACAAATTGAGAGTAATTGAAATTTAAAATTTGTTGAATTTAACTCGAAAAAAATCAAATTTAGACAAATATATTGAGATGGAGGGCAAATATAATACACCTACTCTTATTTAATTCCTTGCCCAAACAAAAGCAAAGTGGCATGAATTAAAGATGAATTGAAGAAGTTAATAAAATTGGTAGGATGACTAAAACTTATGGAGTCTACATTATATTAATCCGGCCTCCACCCTGTTCCGTGTGCCGAGGAATTAGCACACCTACATGCAATACCATGTGACACCAAAATGCATGTAGATGCTAGCTAGCTACTTGCTCTATATATGCATACAAAAATGTACACAAATCCGCAACAGTTGACACCACGAACGACAATCATCCGTAAATTTGTACACACAGAATGAATGTTAATCGTCTGTGAGTTCTTTATATTCATAGGCAGATGCTCCAGCCATGTGTGTTCAAAAATATACAGACGACTATCATACATGGTGTTAATCGTGGTGAATTTCAAACACTACTCATATACAATCTCTGTTTCAAGGTACTTGTCCAGTTTAACTTGCGTCTTTAGTTGACTAAAACCGCAAGGTATATTTATATAAAAATGACTTTATTAGATTTATCTTGTTAGAAACTTTTAAAATATTATTTCTTTATAGTAATATATGCAATACAAATTATGAGTACATGAAGCTTAAAATTTATCTAGTTTGTCTCAAAAAAATCAAACAGAACAAATCTATTGGGACATATATAAAATATACACACAAGAATATACAATTAGACAGTGGTGTCATTTATATATGCCACTCTCGATTCATTTCAAGGATAAAACGACACATATCAACGGACAAATCAAATGCGGCCGCCAATTAAGAAGCATATTCCTCCCTTTACATCAAATCTAATTCAATACCGTCCCGTCCTAAAATAATTTTCCCAAAAACATGAGAGATTTTAATTTTCAAAAATTTTTAGGAGAGTGTATTTTGATGTTGAGTTTTAAAAAATGTCCTTGAATATGATGAGTAAAAGTAGAATTTGATGGATAGATTAATAGAAAATAAATGTGATGTGATATCAGTATATCACGATATGTAGGTTAAGAATTAATATGCGTAAAAAGAACATTTTAATAAAAATAAGAAAAGTATTTTGAGACGAATAAAAAAAAGAAAGAAGAAAGATTTTTCATTGACGGAGGGAATATTTTTTATTGGTAAAGTATTTTCCTCTTTCTTTTCTTTGCTTATTTTTGGTAATTATTTTTCAGAATAACATAATCGATCATGTCACATCTTATTTTATAAAGCATTTGATATAATTCTTTATTATATTTGTATCATTATTTAAATGAATTGAGTTGGACATAAACTCAAACAAGTATTGTTTTTCCATGCAAGATGATAACTTTAGAACGAATCGAAGTAAAATATTACAGTGAAATTTATATTTTTATGTTCTGTAAGTAATAAAAATAAGTTGAAGAGAATAGTCTCAAAAGATGATGACTAGGCAATAACAAAGTAACGACATAACTATGAGAAAAATATCGGGGAATTATGACGTCAATAAGTAAATTTAAAAATATTTATGTAAAATATATTACTCGTATTATATACTCCCTCTCTCCCTAAATATATCTCACATTTCTATTACCGAGGTAAAATATCAAGTTTTTTCAATTCATTTTATTTACATATTGGTATAGAAATAAAAAATAAAATTTATATATAAAAAAACTACATGAAAAGTTCTTCGAAACAAGAGGTGTCAAGAATATTTTATTTTATCAAATAACCAATAAAAACTTAAAAATAAATAAAAGTTTCCGCGACTGTTGAAAAAGCAAATGTGAGATATATTTAAGGATGGAAGGAGTATTATAGAACAACTCTTTATAAAAGAAATTGAGAACTTATTAAATATTCTATACCAAGAAATCTCATTGTAGCAATCAAAAAAAAAAAAAAGAAATCTCATTGTATGTACCTTCTGCATGTGCGCAGGAAATTGAATCCTACCCATCCTTTCACTGTATATATACATGTACCTATATATACATAATCCCATAAGAAGAAGAAGAAGAAGAAGAAGAAGAAGAAGAAGAAGAAGAAGAAGAAGAAGAAGAAGAAGAAATATACTCCGTATTATTCCATCTTCTCATCTGATCTATATTTGCAGCAGCTCTGCATACTAATTACCATACCAGCCATAATGAAGGTAATCCATTTTCATTTCTTCATTCCACACTAAAAGTGATATATATATAGAATTCAAGATTCATTTCTTTTTTTATATTCTTTAATTTCTTGACAATATTGTTGATATTCAAGATTCAATTTTGCAATATTAATTCAATTCATTTATCAGATCTTTAATTGGATTCATGGAAAGATTCATGGGAAGCAACCGGTCGTCGTCAACAAACCACATCCAAATAATACCACTCCATGTATTAATTTTTCCCATCGTAATTATTTGTTACGGAGTATTTTTTTTTCAATTTCTTGAAACTGTAATAAAGTTCTGTTTTTTTTTGTTTCTTGATTCTTGATTTGTCGTCGCCGGCCGGCATATAGATACGGCGAAAGAAGAGTTCAGCGACTGGCCGAACAGTCTGCTGGCGATCGGGACGTTTGGGAATAACAAGAATCAGCTCAGAGCCACAGAAGCTTCTTCTGCTGACTGCGACGGCGACAATGGCGGCGGCGGCGGCGATGGAGACCGGCGACTCACGGGGGAAGAAGTCGGGGAGCTAAAGAAAGAGCTGAAGCTGCTGATGCACAAACACTCGGTGCGGGAAAATGGCGGCTTGGAGAAGTTTTTCGATTGTCTGGACGACATTGACGACGAGGGGATCGTGATGTCGCCGGAGGACGAGGATGTCCTGTGCGGCGGCGGTCGGACGGAGGCGAAAACAGAGAGCTCTCTGTCGTCGTCGTCATCTATAATCACCAGAAAGTCGCTGTCTTTCCTATTCAAGAAGGCCATTCTCTGCCGCGGCGGCTTTATCCCGCCTCCGGCGCCGTCTCTGCCTCTTCCGGCGGATCTTTTTCCGGCGGACGGCGCCAGATCGGAGAAGTCAAGAATGGACAGGATTCTGAGGTCGATTCTGAACAAGAAAATATATCCGCAGGGGGCGGCGAATCCGAGGACGTCCACGAAGAAGTACCAGCTGGAGGATAATAATTTATATTTATGTGAGAATTATTCAGAGAGCGAAGATGAAGAAGATGAGGAAGATGAAGAAGATGGTGAAGGAGTGGGGAAGGCAGGTGGTGAACAGGGGAGGAGCAAATGGGTGAAAACTGATTCTGACTGTAAGTTCTCATTTTTATTAATTTTTTTAAATTTTGAATTTTAAATATTCATTTTTATTTATTTCCTTTACGAGCAACTTAATACTCATTTTCGAGTTATTGGATACTCTTTTTCGAGTAACTGAATATTCATTTTTTAAAAATTTAACTATGCCTGAAAATGAGTATTTTTTGTTAATTGAAAATGATTATTCTATTACTAGAAAATGAGTACTTTGTTACTTGAAACTGAGTAATTAAGTGGATATAATGAAAACATCGTACATTCGGACGCTTGGTGTAGGTACCCTATTAATTGGATACTCATTTTCGAGTAATTGAACACTCAAGTTCTTCCAATTCATTTTATTTAAAATTGGAGTAACACTCTTTTAGTAACCTATAGTAACCTATGATTCACACTACCATGCTCACACTACACACTGCCCCGCGACACTGTCACCACAGTGTCGGTTGTCAAAGTCGGCCACTTTTGGCTGGTGGCCCACTGCTAGCCACCATTCACACTTCCATCGTTAGCACTATCGAACTCCTATTTGAGAGATGAAAACAATGATACTCTATTTTGGTAAGTGAAATTTGCACTAAATAGTACGGAGTATTAAAATATATGTCTTTTTCCAATATAGTACCTAAAACTTTTATTTTCTAAATAATACGGAGTACTTGATAGATTGATCTAGTGCTTATTCGCAGTGGACATTACTTTAAACAGTGTCCGGTGACAGTAAACATTTATTTAACAAAATGTCCAGTAGACATTAAACATTGATCTTACATCAAGAAATTAAAACATATGATACTATATTAGAAAACTCATCATGTTATAGTAGTGCATTATATTCTCCTTTTGGTAGTTAGATGGTACAGACTACAGAGTATTTTACTTTTATATAGTGATATTTTTTGTAATTTTTTTGAGTAGATTTCTTGTAATTAATTGGGAGTAAGTTACATTGGTTGTATTATCTCCATCCAAAAACTTTCCTCACACTTGACATTCTATGATTTTTAATGTTGCATTTTGATCATTAATAATAATAATAATAAGAATAATAATAATAATAATAATAATAATAATAATAATAATAATAATAATAATAATAATAATAATAATAATAATAATAATAATAATAATAATGTGATGTCTTTAATTTGCAGTCATTGTTCTGGAGATATGAAATTTTCCTCATTAATTCGGCCACTGCCTTCTGAGATTCTAAGGTAAAAAAGCTCTTCCAATCATACGTTGACATTATCATATAGTTAATGACACAATTAGCACTATTCATTTAATCATATTTTATTTCTTTTTCATTTCTATGTCACTAATCCTTTATTAATTATTGTCTGTTTTTTTTTCTTTCAGGAATACTATTTAATTAATGTTATGGAGAGTAAACTTTTTTTTCATGTCTCCAGATGAAAACATGTGTTAAATAAAGAAGCCGAGAAAAGGATGGCATAATATGACACTGGGTTGATCAAAGGGGCCAATCAAGTGAACATCAAGATATGGGTGTCAGATCCATATATAATTTGATCCTTTCTCATTTACCAAGTGGTTATATTTTCGTCTCATAGAATTAATCCAAAGAGATTAATCATGATTCTGGTGTTAAATATCAATAATCTTTCTTATTTTTTTAGTTGATTTAAAGTAAGAAATTTTATCAACCACAAAAAATTATGATCATTTTTAACTATTCAAAATAAAGCTTTTGATTCTAAGACATGCAGAATTACCATTCTATACTTTATAGTGTCATAATCTATTTTCTCTACATAGATTTGAAACACATACTCCCTCCGTTTGCAAAAAAGCTTCCTTGTTTGACTTAAAGCCAAAATAAAGAAGTGTTAAATTATACTCCGTAGTTGATTTTCAATTTTACTCCTGATGTGATGGGTAAAAGTAAGATGTGATGGATTGATTATTAGAGAAAAAGTATGATATGATAGGTAGGGTATAAAAAAATAAGGGTAAAGTGGTTTTTTAATAAAAAGTGAAAGTTTTGTTGGAAGTGGAAAAAATGAAAAAGGAAATGTTTTTGAGAACAGAGAGAGTATAAAGTTAGGTGAAATATTATAAACCAACTTTTTTAAGAGTGGACGTTTACTATTAGAAGCTATCATTAACCATGCTTGTTTAACAAATATGATATTAGTACTATGCGTTAATGCATGGGAGGTTCTCTGTAATACAGTTTTAGACCAACAATATCCCATTTTGTGCTCCTCCAAAGCTTGACGCACGCCTTCGGGCGATTTCCCAAGATCCCTCCAATCAACCGCCTTATTGTTACCAAGTTTAAAAGATATCAAAATCATTCGCTTGAAGAGTTTGTGATACAAGGAGATTTCCAATTCAAACCTTATTTTTATGTTTAACCAAACAGAAAAAATTTGATATTGGGATATATCAAAACCAAAATCTGCTACACTCACTAAAATGACTTTTAATTTTCAAATCGAAACCCTTAATTTAATTTATTTTTATAGTTGTATATGCCCATTAAGGACAGTGGTAATGGGGATGACGCTCAACCACTTTATGCTCATTTTGACGCCTGGTGGCGTTAAACACCGCCCCTCCCCCGTTATGGTCCCGTTAAAATTCCTGCGTCAAATGTTTCACGTAATTTGAAGGCGTTGGAACACCTTCTCTCCTCTTTTCTCTCTCTTTTTTCTCTTTTCTTCTCTATAAATTATATTAATTATTTTTTTTTAAATTCAACAAAAATACAAATCTTTCTCTATCTATCATCTTTTAAAAAAAATTATTATTTAAGTATTTTATTAGTGGAAATTTTTTCATGAATACAAATTCATGAATGTAAAAATTATTATTTAAGTATTTTTTCATGAATGTAAATTTTTTATTTAATGAATGTAATTTTTTATAATAAATGTAATTATTTTATTTAATTAATGTAATTTTTTATAATGAAGGTAGTTTTTTAATGAACTATTCTTGTTTCAATTATTTTAAATAATTCAATAATTAAGTTTTATTAATTTAATTTTAGAAGATGTATATTTAAAATGTAAAAAATGAAGGTTTGGGGCCCCGGTTTGAAGTCTCGAGGCTCTAAACCCATTTCTACGGGTGGGCGTGGTCCGTAATGGTCCGTGATACTACCAGAACCTATCATGGGCTGCTATTATTTAAACACTTCGGTATTGGTACAGGATGAACTCCAAAACTATTCGGTACCATTCTGTTTTAAAACGGAACGGTACAATACCATACCCATGCTAAAACAGTGCCAAAAAAATGAACATATATTACTTAAAGAACATTGAATTTAATGTATAAATTTGTATAAAAAAGCACAAGAATGTTGCATAAAAGTATTGATTTCAAATTTAAACGGATCATAAACATAAAGAATAAAAGATAACGAGTCCAACGTTAAAAACAATTTTTTTCAAATTCATATAATATCGGAATGCTAATTACTATAAAAAATAATGCCAATAGTAATGATAAATATAATAACAACAATGATAATGAGAGAGTTTAAAAATAAATAATAAAATACAAAGTTAGTTTTCGAGTTATTTGGAATCCGGTTCCGGAGACTTGGGCCGATTCTCCTTGTGATACATGTATATATATACACGGGGGCAAGGTTAGGGTTTCAATACAACTCCGATCATCCCAAGTTTTTAAGGCTACATCTGCGGCTCTCGCTCGCTCTCTCTCTCATCCGTGTTCGAGACACCGGCCAGAACCGGTAGTTGCTGCCGCCTTGCCGGTGAGGTAATTACTAAACTTTCCAATTTCTGTGTGGTTCTGGTCAGAGTAACTCGCAACTTTGAGGATGATGATGTTGATGATTATCGGTTGGTTATGATGTGTGCTTTGTAATGTTAAAATTGTTATGATGATAATAACGTTAAAATTGAGGATGATAGTGTTAAAAGTTGTTATGATGATTATCGTTAACTGCCCGAATTTCCTTTATGATCTGCTTTGATTATGATGATCGGATATTTGGCTGTAGATGTTGTGTGGTGCATTGGTTTGTTGGCATAAATATTACAATCTGATTGTTCAATTTTTTTAGCATTTTAGAAAGAGAAATTTACCTAAATAGTATTAAAACATAATGACTTTCCCAATATAGGACCATATGTTTTTATTTCCCAATGTAGGACCTTTGGTCATTATCAAGTACTCCCTCCGTCCCACTATATTCGTCCACTTTTGACTTTTGAAACTGTTCATCTAAGCACTTTGACTAATCAAATTCTCTCAATGTGTAAGCCTAAATATAATCATGTGTGATCTTGTTTGATTTGTCTTAACATATAGAATATCAATATATAATTTCTATAATTTTTTAATATACAAATTACAAGATAAAATGGATTAAAGAAGTGTATTGGATGGTGTGCAAAAATGAAAGTGGACAAATACTCTGGGATGGAGGTAGTAGTCATTATTCAAGTAAATGTCCATCATTACTGGACATTATTCCTTCTACTAAGTCATTATTAAGTCCTATTTAGGGAATAAAAAAGTGTAAGTCCTACATTAGGAAAGTCATTATGTTTTAATTTTATTTAGTGCAAATTTCACTTTTAGAAAAATAAAGAAAACAAAATGAATGACCAATCAATGTGAAGTGTTTGCGTTTTGTTTGCCTCTGCAAAGTGAATAGAGTGTTAATGATGAATGAAATGAGTAATGTATTTCCAATGCATTATTTTGGATGGGGAATCTGTCATGAACTTTTGTTTGGTTGGTTTCAGATATATATATCCACCAAACATGGAAGAACAGTCTAGCAGTAGTAGTCATCAGGCTGCAGAGAATCTGAAGGCAAGCCCTTCCCAAGAGGCGATTGTGAAAGATAAAGGAAAAAAGGGGAACATGTTTGTAGGCACAATGCTGAGAGAAATTTACCTCAAAAATCTGAGAAAGGATGCTTTACAAGATGCGCAAGCCTCAGATGTTAATGGACCCAATCCCAATATGCATCCTCAGGATTAATTAGAAGGGAGTACTTGTTGTTATTAGGATGGGGTGATTTTAACACTCCCTCTTGACCAATTTCAACCCAACTCTGCCCTTTTAGAATTCTTTTCTTGAATGTTTTGATGCTCCTCTACACATGGTTTGAATATGAAACCCCATTATATTCCTTGTGAAGACCCTAATGCATTTTGTTTGTAGAATCCTAATATTTTCAAAGTTACATTTCCAAAAGAAACCATTGGCACTATATTTATGTCAGGAGCATAATGTATTCCCTCTCCCTTACCCCCTCCTATTCAAATTTAGTCTAACTGTGATCAAGAAAAGTTAAATAAAAACATCGTTAGTGAAAGTATCGTGTAAGGGCATCCCAACAACCTCCCATCCGCCCTTACCCTTTGTTTAGACAAGAAGAGAAGATAATATTATGAAAGAGAACAAAATGAAAGAAAATTATGAAAATAGAAGAAAAAAAAGGAGAGAAAAAACGTCTTCCTCTTCTTTTTCTTTCTCCTTCCTTTTGTTGGTGCGGTCGTCGCTGGCTCACTCGCTGCTGCTTTGTTTTTTGATGAGAGAGAGAGAGAGAGCTGTGGAGTTTGTGCTTCGTAACTTTAGTACGTACCACCTTAAAATTATACTTTTAGATTCTGTTAGAGTGCATCCCACATCGGAAGTTCAAGAGTAAAATAACTGGTATATAAGCTCTTGAGTTGGACTAACTAATCGATTGGATTCAATCTTTTAATGTGGTTCAACCCAAGTGTCTTATTGCCCAATCCAATTGTCTATATCACATCCTAAATTCTATCATGGTATCGGAGCCAGTTTTAGCCCACCTCGTTTGTCAAGGTGTCCGTCTAGACGTTCATTCCTAGCGGCCCGTTAGTCTTTAGCCCAGTTGTCCGTATGGATGTTGTACCCAACGGCCTGTGGCCTGTTTAACACGATTGCTCGTCTGGAAGTCCATACCCAGCGGCTCGTGGTCCTTTAGGTGTTGGCGCTCAAAAAAAAAAGTCAAGGGAATGGGAGTTCATTTGCAAGTGGTCAACCGGTTAGATTCAAAATGGCCCGGTTGTCCACTTGAGGGGGAGTGTTAGAGTGCATCCCACATCGGAAGTTCAAGAGTAAAATAACTGGTATATAAGCTCTTGAGTTGGACTAACTAATCGATTGGATTCAATCTTTTAATGTGGTTCAACCCAAGTGTCTTATTGCCCAATCCAATTGTCTATATCACATCCTAAATTCTATTTGTATCGTTGAATCTTGGTATGATTCTTATATTTTATCAATGAATATTTAAAATAAACTCCGGGTTCGTTTCAATTTTTAATTAATTAATTTTGGTAGATCGAGTTTCGGGGCGTTGGTTCCGGATTCTATCAATTTTCTTTTTCAAACAAATGAATATCCAGGGATTTGCCCTTGGGTCCTTCGATCCCGTAGTGATTTCCTTGTCAAATTAGCCCTTCATGGCCATCTCCTTGAGCACAGCCTTTACATTTCGATAAACGGTGCCCTCACCTGGTCTTCTTTAATTTCTTGGCTTGGGTGGATTTGTTTTTATACCATGGGTAAATGATGGCTATGCGACATAGAGAACTTTCCATGATTGGCGAGGTCATTGGTGATGGTGAGAAACCAAGAATAGGGTTTGCGTTGTTTGTGCGTTAGCCATAGTATTTCATATGGTTAATAGGTTTTAAGGTGGACACCTAAATTGGATTGAATGCTAATAAATCTATGAACTATGGTTTGGACGGCGGCGGTACCCGTACTACAGCGGCCGGTCCATCGGTAACCCGCTGGGACAGCGATGCGCACACTAACCGCCCACAAAAGGGTGGGGATGGCTCCTCGCAGCTCTTCGGCGATCCCTTCCCAAGATCTCTCCAATCAATCGCTTGATTGTTACCCATCAAAATCCTTCACTTGGAGAGTTTGTGATACATGGATATGTTTAAAAACCGCGGATTCAAACTTTTTTTTTATGTTTAACCAAGCACAGAAAAAATTTGATATCAAGAATCGGGATATATCAGAATCGAAATCTTCTATACTCACTAAATTGACTTTTAATTTTCAAATTTAAAGCCTTAATTTAATTTATTTTTAGAGTTGTACATGTCCCTTAATATAGAGGATGGGCAAGGGACATGTATGTATTACCATTACCACTAAAGTAAAGCAAAGAAACAAACACAAGTTTTAATAAATATTGGCCTTCCAATGTGTTTGTGTGTCTTATTCCATGTGTTTTTCCTTAACAAATGCATGCGCCTGTCACTCATTAGATACGTAAATATCTTTCCCCAAATCCTAATGTTGCAATGTTGCATAACTCATAAGTAGCTTGGGCTCTACCTGGCCTCCTCACAATATATACCGTACATTCTGGTGTACATATAATTAAATACATTCGACAAATATTTATTTTAATAAATAGAAAGTTTATTTTGAATACATATAATTAAATACATTCAAAAAATTTGTAGAATGAATAAATTCCCAAATGTACAATGTGTATACAAAATGAAACAAATTTTTCTTCTACCATCAATTGCCCGAAAAATGTCTCCAAAAGTAGTTATTACACTCCTAGTTACACCTCTTCCCATTTATAAGCTCAGCAGTAATACATTTGCCTTTTTGGCTAAAAAATGCTCTAACAGTATTTACAAAAAATCTGATGCTAACTAACTTTTCAAAAAAAAAACTTTTTTAATAGAAATACTGAATCTCACTTTCAGCAATTTAGCATTGTTAAATTTTACTCCGGGTAATTTATACGGAGTATTTAAATTTACCAAAATTACATATTTGGTCCTTTAGGTATCGTACTCGTTGCATCTTTAGAGCTTGTTATCTTCAACTTTTTTTTTTACTTATTGCTTATTTTTGTTGAAATCAGATGAGATCAGAAGTAGCCTTAAATATTGAATATTTTTTTGGAGGCAACTCAGAGGAGGCATATATAGACCCATATTTCAAGAAGCAAGTTACTCCCAGAATTTGAGAGGCAACTCAGAGGAGGCAACTCAGAGGAGTATTAACAACATAGGATAGAAGTGTTGGTCTTGCACCCAGAATTTGGGACACAAATTGTCTCTCTGGCTGGGTAATGTGTTCAGAATTTACAGACACATCATCTCTATTTTAACCCTACAACATTATTATTGACAGTGGAGAGTTCCCCAAACAAAAACAGAAAACCAAACCCATTTTTTTAGGGTGAAATTGAAAGAAAAAAAAACAAGCTTTTCACTTCTGGAAAATACCTTTGATAAACCCCTGTAAGGAGCCCCCCATTCCTGCACCAACTGCTTCTGCCAGGTATTTTGTCTGCAAAAATTGAACAGACATTTCTTGAATCCAACTTCGAAAACAACCCATCCGTCCCAACTTAAGAAAAGTGTTGAATAGTGAAATTACTATTTTGGATTGCACATTCTTTTCTAAAAAGAGAGAAACAAATGGGTCGGATAAAAAAAGAAGAGGGAAAACTTTTTTGGGATGAAGGGAATAGAATGAATATGGGCAATGCTAGGGAAACTCCACTTTTGACAGTTGACACCAAAGGCAAACATAAACACTCTCGCACGGTTATTGTCTATGTTTGCCTTTGGTGTCAAAATGTGGGGTTTCCCAAGCTTCTTCCAACTAAAATAGATCACCCAAAAAGGAGGGGAAAAAGAAGAAGAAAAGATACCTCCTGTGCAGTTTTTTTAAGATCAAAAGCATCTTTAATCCGAGCATTCAAGAAGGCCCAGGTATCGTGGAAATCTGTAATAGGGAGACCAAGAAAGTAATGTTTGAGCAATTCCAAAACTAACATATTGCAAGGAGTGATCTGAAAAAGGTTGCTACACCTCCCGGACGCATGATATGTCAAATGTTAATTGTTAATTATGAAACGTCTTCCAGGTTGAATTGCACTTCCTGCTAAGGTGGCACCTAATATTTGGGGCACTATCCCAAGTGTGCCAAATTCTTTTACACATGCACAAACATGAGCTCACACCCTAGAGCATGTTGTGAGCTCGTGTCTGTATGTATGAAATGAAAGAAAAAAGTGGGAGGGCAAGGTTGGGTAGACAATGTAGCACAAGTCCTAACCCCTAAGATCAAATTATCAAAATGATGATTTTGCAATGTACAGTGTATTATATGACAATACCTCTGTTAAATCTTATATCATGTTTAGATGAAAAGTGTGTTTGACGATTTAATATCTTTTGACAAAGATCATACACAAGCCCCATTTGTGAGATCTTGCCAGATTGTTGTATACATCCCTTCCTAATTATCTGCCCATATTGACCAAATCACACAACTTCAAAAGAAAGGTATTGGTATTGGCATAGCCAGCATCTATTACTATAAGTAGTGCCATATCAAAGAGTGAAAATTATAAATTCACATAACTTTTAATAAGAAAAAAGTTAACAAAACAAGACATGCATTGAAAAAACAGTGTATATTATTCACAATGTATGAAGTAATTTTTTTGTTTTTTTCAAAAGTTTTTACATAATTTTGCACCGTAGGTAATTAAAATGTTACACGAAAAGGATTATTTGGACGATACTTGGGTTGCATAGAGCTCACTTAAACATTTACATAAAACGGAAAATTTACTATATGTCCTTGTGTTTTTCGTCCACTTTGATATTTTTTAGACAAACAGGACTAACTTTGATTATCCATTACATATTAATACAATAAAATACTCCGTAATATTTTTAGTCTTTTGTAAGAAGAATATAAAGAAATCATTTTTGTATTGATATGCAATGCAATTTTCGTTTAATGGACGATCAAAGTTCATTCAATTTGATAGAGAAAAGCCAAGCTAGACAAATAGACGGGCATAAAGAGTATTTTCTAAGCCTCATCTAAGTTATGTATGTGATCTAGTGCTTTTCATAACAGGCGGAGCCTGCAAATAAAGCAATTAAATATGAAGTATTGACTAAAACAGACAGTTGAAGGGAGTGCACACTGCACACAATAGTTGGCTGACATTTATGGAAGCAGGTGTGTATCATATGCAGATGTATCAGAAGTTGTACCCTACTTATTAGTAAAACATAAGACCGAAAAGTTGAGACACCATGCTTCAATCTCTAAACCTAAACAAAGAAAATAGGAAAGGAAAAATAGCTGCAGGAAATAGCTTTTTCAATGCTTAGTTGTACTTTTGAAAATACAAAAGAAAATTGGATGTGGTTAGAACTGTTTAAAATTTTGTTTAGTATTTGTATAGTTGAAATGTATATATGAAATGAGTTTCGGAAAATATAAACTAAATTATTGAGTTCAAGGACTAATTTGTTTTTTCCTCAACTTTTATGTCCTCCCATTTCCTCTATATTTATCGCTATATTTCCTTTTAAGAATATTGAGCATTGTTGGGGGCACACCACTTGAAGCATCGCTTGCACCTAGAGTGTCACTCATCCCGGGGAAAGTTGGAACACAAAGAGCGCTATAAATTAATGTTTTAATAAGGAGAATTTGGAAGAAAAGAAAATGTGGGAGGAAGAAAAAATTCAACCTTAATAAAAATAAATTATTTGTTTAAACTTTTTTATTTATCTACTTCTATGATAAAAAAACTAATAAATCTAGATTTGTGTAAAGAAAACATTAAGAACACTAACTATATTTTCTATTCCTTTTTATATTTCTTTTTCCCTTGGTAAAGCAAAAAAAAACTACACATAACGGGAGTATTTTAAAAAAATGGTCTAAAAGCAATTAGTGAAGAAAATTAGCAGGTAGCAAAGAAAATGCACCCAACATTTCCCCCTTTTTTTCCGAGATCCAAACATTGACATTCTATCTAGGCAATGATTTTTGTTTTTACACAACAATGAAATAAACCAACCTGGAGAGTAATCGGTTAGCATGTATAGCTCAGTAGTAGAGTATATTCCACCAAGCACGGTTCGCTTCACATACCAATCGATATCACCTGCATCATCACCAGCCGCACGCCAGATTTCATCAACCAACATTGCCCTCTGCTTGAAACTTGTTGGTATGTTCAGTGGATGTGCCTATAAAACAAGCTGCTATTATCAGATACCTTCATTTAGGTTTCTAATAAATATTTGCAACTTCATAACACAAACATATATAGAAGAAGAACAAACCTGTATACTGAGTGCTTGAGCCCATTTTGATATGTAAGGAGACTGCAACTCTAAGCGGAGTCTTACAATTGTCGCAACACACTCACTAGGTATCATCGTTTTCAAATCCGTTCTCAATTCAATAATATCAATGAGTCTATCCAAGCACTCATCCATAAAAAACTGAAAGAAAAAGACTTGAATGGGTTAAGAGCAAAGAAGGGAATCATCATTATCAGCACCTTATTCTGGAAAACGGCACAATTACGCAGAGAAACATTGAGTGGAAAAAGAATCTGACTAACCTCCACAAGAGCAGCTTCTTTCCTATGAAAAGATCCAAGGACTGAAGGAGACAATCCAGCCTCCCTTGCACCAGCAATCATGGCTGCTTCAGTCCATCCCAATTTCAGCTGCATTTAAAGATTATTCAAAAAGTCGAATCAATCCAGCATCCAGTGAATAAATAACATGATGATCATCCACACATTGTGATCCTTTCAATGGATTTTCATGGACTAAAAGCCTAAAAACGCCCAAAAATCAACATCTCTGCAATACTTAAGATCCGTGGTTCCATTTTGAGGCAATACTCCGCATTAAACAGACGGAACAGATAATCGCAGATATATGCGTACCACGTGAGGGAGAGAGGCGCTCAGAACACGGGCTTGTTCGTCCTGGTACTGAGCCCTAGGCCTGGTTTTAGTCGCTCCCGGCTCCGGATTCTCCTCCTTCTCGTAGATGCGATCTTCCGCCTCTCCGCTCCGCCCTGATGTCGGAGGAGACGATGACCCGGAGTCAGAAAATGCAGAGTTTGGATTCGGTATGGCCTCAGATGCAATACAGTTGAAGAAACGCGGCGTTCGGACCCCTGAAAGAGTTGGAAGGGAGGAAGAGATTCTTGGCTGGTTGCTGCAGCGGAGCAACGCCGGGAACAACCGCTTAGCCGCCACTCGGAGCATTTTCTGTGGTCGAAGAAGTTTCTTGCTGGACGGGATAACTATGCAGTATGCACAAAAAACAATTGTTAAAAATTAAAATTACGGAGTAATTCACAAAATTAAAATTAGGGCATGTTCTGTTCAATTTATTTTTTTAAAGTTATTACTTATCTTATTAAAATCAGATAAAATTAGAGACAACTTAAAATATACTCAGCTACAAAAAATTAGATTAGGCAAAAATATGTCCCAGTTAATACGGAGTTTTAGTGTTTTGATAATTTTTTTTACCTTTTTCTGAATTTTTATTGATTATTAAAATCGAAATAGAATGCAAACGTGCGAGAAGTTGCACCACTATCCCTTTTTGAATAGCAAAACCAATTCTTTTGAAAATTACATCCATAAGTTTAAGGGTCATAACATAACTACTCCGTATTTATGACTCGTTAGACTCGACTTATCAGTTTCGTGGCCTCAGACGCGAGGAAACTAAAGGTATCAAATTTGATGTAATTTAAGTATCTTGTATTTCTTATTTTTATACTAATTTAAAAATAAAATAATTATAAAACAAATGAGATTTTATATGTTATTCAAAGAGACAATATTTTTGGAACATGGTATGATTCCTACTTCTGTATTTCATTCTTTTTTGACCTACACAAGAGTGTTCATTGTTCTTTATTTGTTTTATTTTAAAAATTTTTATTTTTTGTTAAACTAGAAAGATCAATTTAATAAAATCATTTGAATTTGTGAAATTTGGTGTCAGAACTCGAGGATTGTTCTGCTCAACTTATTTTTTGCGGCTTATTACTTAGTATTATTAAAATCAAACCAGAGTAGACCAGATCAAAGTTAATCAATCAAACCAAATTAAATCAGATCTACTACAAGTTGAAATATAACAACAATCAGATATTCAGATCAGATCTTAAAAAAATCTTATGAAAACTGGCAAAGGGAATGCAGCTTAAGTCATAGATCTTAAAATCAAATCAGATTACACGAGATCAAATATAACCAATCAGACCAAGTTAGATCAAATCAACTACAACTTTAACTATAACTACAATCAGATCAGTTCTTCATAAAATCATATGAATTCTGGTGAAGGGAAACGCAGCCCAAGTCATACATCTTCCCAAGCTCGAACATAAAAGAGAATGAAGCCTTTGAACATGTGTTTGTTAGTGATATAAAGAATTGTTAGTGATATAAAGAAGAAAAAGAAGAAGAAGAAGCTATACATTAAAGTACATCAATGTCCAAAATAAAAAATAAAAAAACACACACACAAAAAAAAAGAAAGAAATGAAAATGGGAAAGCTTTTTTGAATCCTCCTCTAGCTGCCTGCAGCTTCTTCTAAAAAAATTAAAAAAAAAACCTGCTACTGTGATACTCTAAATTTACAGTCTTCACAATACAATTCTCACACTTTGACATCTTCTATTCTCCTGATGGCCTCTTTCATATCCAGCCGTTTGATGAGGTCCGTCTCCGAGCAGGCGCATCCGATGTGCAGGAGCCTCTCCATGAGCGGCACGGAGTCTCCGGCGGCCGCCCCGGCGATCTCCGGGTCGATCACCTCCGCCTCCCTCCTCTCCGCCACCGCCTGCCGCACCCACTCCACCACGTCGGTGCCGCCCTTCTGGTTGCTGCTGAGGTACTGGGAGGGGAACTTCCCCGTCATGACCTCGAGCACCACGACCCCGAGGCAGTACACGTCGCTCTTGGGGGAGATCTGGCGGTGCAGGACCCCCTCCGGCGTCCGGAACGCAAACATCGACTGCGCCGTCGCCGTGCTGTTCACCAGCGGGTAGTACGCGTAGTCGTTCAGGAGGGGGTCGTTGCCCGCCGTCAGGAGGATGTTGCTGGACTTGAGGTTGCCGTGTGGGACGTCGTACGACGCGAATTCGTTGTGCAGGAAGGCCATCCCGCTCGCTACTCCCCGTATGATTCTTAGCCGCGTTGGCCAGTTTAGCTCTGCGTGTGATATCCCCCGATCACCTGCAGTAAATTTTTTTCTGCCGTTTACCTCAAAGTCAACAAAATTTGGATGGTACAACTGGATGGTGTCCGGGGTACGTTAGGGAGGGGCCGAGCTGAAGGGGTTTGTTAGGGGGAATAGAAATCAACTTAAATAAGAGTAAAACACAGAGAAAATACCAAAATAGGAGTTTCATGTTTTTATCTCTTAAATAAGAGTTTGCATTATGATGATGTGACACTGTATATGAACATTTCACAATACTTTTTGGTATTATATATTGACATCATTGACATTGTATATGCATTTTAACTTCTATTTTGAAAATAAAAACATGAAACTCTTATTTTATTATTTTTTCTATGTTTTACTTCTACTTTAGTCTTTTCTAAAGAACAGTAATTAATAAATCCCATTGTAATTAGATGCACGTACCATGCAACATGTAGAGCAGGCTTCCTTTGGGAATGTATTCAGATATGAAGAGCTTCTCCTCTTTCCTGTAATGGTAAGCTAAAGGCGTCAAGATGTTGGGGTGCTTTATGCTCCCCAGCCGTCTCATCTCTGCGTCGAAGTTATCTCTGCTGATTTTATTGATCTCTCTCAGCCTCTTCACTACCACCGAAACACCGTTCACCATCACTGCCTTGTAGGCGGACCCCATCCCGCCGTTCCCGAGCACCTCCGCGGCCGCCTTCATCAGGTCGGGCAGCCCGAACACGCCCTTGTCGTGGTTCACAATGACCAAGTCCCCCATGGACCTCCCGCTCTGCGACCCGCCTCTTTTCGAGCCGCCGTGGGAGGATTCGCTTCTCGACCCCTTCCTGATCGAGCCGCTCATCGTGGTCCTCCGGTTCGTGCCGGCAATGTGAACCGGCACGACCTCGTCGAGATTCTCCTTCTCGAGCCTCCCGAAGCTGTCCTCCTTGCTCTTCCTCTGGAAGAGAATGGAGACAGTCAAGAAGGCGACCACCAGGGACAGAACTACCCATTTTGTCCCTGGTGACGAAGTAGGGGTGTTTGGTTCCTCAGAAGGAGGAGGCGGCAATTTGGGAGCGCCGTTGTTCGCCGCCTCGGAACTGCTGTTGGTGCCCGTGGTTTTCGGGCAGTTTTTCCCGAGTAATCTCCCGCACAACTCGGGATTCCCTTCGAAGGGCTTTCGCCCGAACCTTTCCATCTCAGGCGGGATTTCTCCCTCAAGCTTGTTCTTCGACATGTCGAGGGTGGTGAGAGATTTCTGAGCCATGGATGGAATGCGGCCCGAGAATTCATTCTCTTCAAGGTGGAGTTCGATCAAGTTGGGCAACCTTCCAAATGAATCGGGAATTTTCCCCGAAAACCCGTTGTTCGATAGCCATACCTTCTTGAGGGAGGTCATCTTGGAGAAGAAATCCGGAGGAATCTCACCCGAGAACTTGTTCTCGTGTATGAAGATGGACCTCAAAGCTCCAAGCTTGTTGAAACCGGGGATCGAGCCCGAGAAGCTGTTGTTCGACATGGCCATCATCCTGAGGCCTTTCAGGCTTGACAGCACCTCGACCTTGATCTCGCCCGACAGGCCGAGCCCATTGAGGCGAAGGCCCGTGATGGTCACGTTGTGGCATTGGATGCCGAACCATTGGCGGTTCTTTTCACAAGGGTGCGTCCCGGCTTTCCACGAGTTATCAAGAATTTTTGTGTTCCCCATTGAATCCTTGAGCTGCAACAGGGCCTCATCGTCTTCCAAGGCAGAAAACAAAGACGGGAAGGAAAAAATGACAATAATAAAGAAGATGAAGATGAAGAAGGAATGTGCATAATCTGCCATGACGGGGTTAGTTTTCAAAAGGAAAAGAAAAGAAAATCGTAAGACAACCAACCCGTGGAAGGAAAAGCAGAGAGCTGCCGTTCCTAAGGATTGGTAGTCTCTGATGAATCCTTATTTCTTGGGGTGGCGCTTGTTTTTTATTTGAATCATAAAATTTGTATGACAATATGATTAGCAAGCTAAGAAAAAAAACTCTCTGTTTCTCTCTCTTAGAATATAATAAGGTAAGATTCAACTTTTTTTTTTTGGATAGAAAAGAGAGGTGATGCGCCTTCCAAGGAGAGAGGCTTTTTCTTTGGGTTCATACTTCATATGAGATGTTAATAAAGATAATAATAATTTCATGATTGCTAATTTCAATCCGAATGCAGAAAAAACGCCAATCATATAGAGATTAGAGACTAGATCAAATAAAAAATCAAATGAATATAGAAATTTTATATATCTCATAGAACAATAATCATATAATCATGCTCTACCAGCATTAAGTTTAGGAAAATATAATGCCAATTATTTGTTTTACATAAAGCAAACTCATTGAGACAATAGATCAAACACTTTGAAGTCATTCGACTGATTACACATATGTTCATCATTGTCTACAAAGATGACAAAGCTTTGAACTTTATAAACATATCTCATTCACACAATTTATCAAACACTTTACACGCATAAAAATTTTGCACCCTAAATAAGCTAGACAAAGTAGCCAGAGCACATTATAAGAAGATGAGTATTCAAATCCATACAAAACAGCCAGTTTCAGAAAGAAAAAAGGGAATAATAATCACATAGCAGTATTAATTATTATCACTTAGTCCGGTAATATCAATGTATAAAATGAAAACAACTCATTGCTTTAATCGAATCTGAAAATGAAAGAAAAAAACTTACTGGGCGGCGCTGCTGTGTTGCGGGACAGAGGTGAGGCTACAGAGAGGGCGGTGATGGTACAACAGTGTCGACGCTGGGCGGAGGCGGTGATGGTATCTTCTGAAAACAAATTAAATGCTCCCTCCCACCCAATTTATTTGCAGCACTTCGAACGACGTATAAAATATTATCTCTTTTAAAATCACTTTAATTTCAAATTGGTAGAGTAATAAAAAGTAAAAATTACACCATTCAAAAGTATATGAAAAGTTCTACAAAACAAGATGCGACAAGAATATTTTATTTTATCAAATGATCAACCAAAACGAGTAAACAAACAAAAGTTATCGACATGCCAGAATAGTAAACGTGGCATGTCCATAATAATTTAATATTATAAAGAGTAAGGTCATTCTGTGTTCACCCGCAATCAAATTGTACTCTTCTTTGTCAAAACATCAAAGATTATTCTTAAAATGACAAATTTTACATTCTCGTTGTTATTTCAAAGTAGAGATGTATGCAGTTATTTTTATTAGTGATCTTTTTACTTTGTTCCACACACATTTAATTTTTTGTTTCACTTTTTAGTCTTCCCATGACTAATCCAACATTTTTTACTGGTATTCTGTCTCTTTTGACTTCATCCATTTCAAGTTAAGTTTAGTAATGCTATATACGGAGTATTTGCTTACAAAAAAAGAATGCTTGCATAATTTCATTCAAAAACTCACTAATAGTCCTAATTCATTTTCCATAGATTATGATACTCTATTTAAATCATTAGGAATGATTATCAATCAACAACCTTTGAAAATTGGACATTTTAACACCCTTCATAATAATAAAATACGTAATAATTTAAAAAGAATTTTAGAAAAGAAATTACTCAAGTAAGATTTATACTAAATAGGATTAAAACATAAATCACTTTCAATGTACAATTTAAAACTTCTTTATTCCCTTAAATAGGATTTAATAATGACTAGTGAAAGAAATAATGTTCAATAATTATGGACATTTAGTTGAAAAATGACTAATTAATAATGACCAAAAGTTCTACATTGAAAAATAAAAACATACGAAGTATAATCGAAAGTCATTATGTTTTAGTCTTATATATTTAATTTCTCATTAGTTAAATTATTTTTATACTCAAAAACTCACTAATATGCCTTTGAATGTACTCTTCTTCTTCTTTTTCCTAACCCTCCGCAACCGTTTTCCTGAGTTCTGAGCAACAACTTGCTGCTTCTTCCCAGTTCCGCTACCTCGCCATTCTCTTTTCATTGATCTTCTTCGATTAGAGTCCATCCACCTTTTTTTTCAACTCGATCATCAGCACAGCTCATCCATGTGCTCAAAGATATACGCTTTGTTCTGAGCACCCCCGCCGAGCTGACGTCCCTGAAGAGATCGTTTCTCCGATGGTGGAGACGCTAACGGCGCCGTGTACTTCGCGGTGGCGCCGCTGGATCCCTTCCTTCTTCTCCACCCACAAGACCCTTCTCGCCCTTCTCTGGATCGGCTTCTGCCTCACTGTGTTTTTATGGAGGTGGGACTCTGCCGATACAATCTTGCTTTTCCGGCGGGCCTTCCCGTTGAGGCAACTGCCCAGGCTCCGTCCTGTGGCGTTCAATTTGACGGACTTCGGAGGGATTGGGGATGGGGTCACGATCAATACGGCGGCGTTTGAAAGGGCTGTTCTGGCGATCTCTAAGCTCGGTAAGAAGGGTGGAGGGCAGCTTAATGTTCCTCCTGGGCTTTGGCTTTCAGCTCCGTTTAATCTCACCAGTCATATGACCCTCTTCCTAGCTGAGGGCGCTGTTATACTTGGCATTGATGTGAGTTTCCAATTATTCATTGATTTGAGAGTTAACAGTTAAAGATTGATCTAGTGCATTTCAAGTCCCACTTGACAAATTCTAAGCCACTAAAGTTTGAAATATATATCTTCTTATTGGCCTAAAACCTTTGTATAGGCCTAATTGGTTGACAATGGAGTGTAGTGGTGGAGTTTGGGTTGTTTTGACACAATAGCTGAATTTAGTTCTTTTACTTTCTTTAGACTTTTGATATGTGAATTTGCTGCTGGGTTCCGTTTCTAGTTGTTTAGGCTGTTATTATCATGATATTCTGGCCGTGATGTATGCCTCTTGATAGCTTCAATGAAATGAATTAGAATGGCACTCATGCTGCAACTCTAAGCAGGATAAAGTATTTCCAGTTAGCATCCATGTGGTGAAGACATAGGAAGATAGGTGTAAGAAGATTTCTAGTTATGCTCTGCTACATAATTATGGATCAGTGTCACATGTGCGCTTCGGCTCATGGAACATAGGGACCCTCACAGGTAAGTCAATTGAGTCGGTGCAAGTTCTCAAGAGGAGAAGGATTCAGGTGGCATGCGTGCAAGAAACCAGATGGGTGGGCACTAAGGCGCGAGAGGTTGATGGTTTCAAACTGTGGTATTCAGGTTCAGCTAGGGGAAGGAATGGAGTCGGTATTCTGGTGGCGCCGGAGCTGCGAGAGTTTGTGGTGGAGGTGAAGAGGATTAGTGATCGTCTGATGTTTATCAAGTTGGTTTTGGGTGGGTGTGTGATCAATGTCGTGAGTGCTTACGCCCCGCATGTTGGCTTGGCAGACGAAGTAAAGAGGGAGTTTTGGGATGCCTTGGATGGGGTGGTTGTTGGTTTTCCACTGACTGAGAAAGTCATCATTGGAGGCGACTTCAATGGCCATATTGGAGAATCAGCCGAGGGCTTCGAGGACGTGCACGGTGGTTTTGGCTTTGGCAGCAGAACCAGCGGGAGTTTCACTCTTGGAGTTTGTCAGAGCGAGTGATATGGTGGTTGCTAACTCTTGTTTCCCTAAACGAGACGACCATTTGGCTACATTTGTTAGTGGAGTGGGGACAACACAGATCGACTATCTTCTCCTGCGCAGGTGTGATCGGGTGCTCTACAAGGATGCTAAAGTAATTCCGAGTGAAAACATCACTACCCAACACAAGCTTCTGGTGATGGATGTCATGATTAAGTGGGTGAAACATAGGAGAGCTTCGAGTGGCAACACACAAATCCGGTGGAGGAGACTAAGTGGGGAGAATATCTCTGAGTTGATCAGGCGAGTGCAGGAGAAAGGTGCGTGGGAATCGGCCGGAGAGGCTACTAATATGTGGGCGCGGATTGCTAACTGCATCAGGGAAACAGCCAGGGAAGTGTTAGGTGTGAGCTCTGGCTCTGGGAGTAGGCGTCAGGGTGATTGGTGGTGGAGCAAATCAGTCAGAAGTAAGGTGGAAGCTAAGAAGGTAGCATATTTGAGGTACATGGGCTGCAATGTTGAGGAGGAAAGAGCGGCGTTACAAGTGGAGTACAAGAAGGCACGTAAAGAAGCTAAGTTAGAGGTTACGAGGGCAAAGAATGCCGTTTTTGAACGCCTCTACAAGGATATTGAGGAGAAAGGCAGTGTTAATCCACTGTTCCGGCTTGCTAAGGTGCGTGAGAGGAAGGCCCGAGATCTGGACCACGTGAGATGTGTGAAGGGCAGCAATGGTAGAGTGTTAGTTGAGACTGCCAAGGTGGCTAAGCGCTCGGGGGGAGTACTTTAGTGAACTCTTAAATGCGGGAGGAGACTATAGGCTAGTTCTTGATGAGTTGGGGCAGTCCGGGGCGCCCCGTGTGTATTGCCGGCGCATTTGCCTGGAAGAGGTGGTTCAGGCTCTCCGCGGGATGCGTAGTGGGAGAGCTTGGGACCAGATGAGATTCGAGTGGAGTTTTGGAAGCATGCGGGTCGTGGTGCGTGGGTTTGGTTAACCAAACTCTTCAATGTTATCCTCCGGACAGCAAGGATGCCTGATGAGTGGAGGGAGAGTCTCTTGGTCCCTCTGTTTAAAGGCAAAGGTGACATTCAGAGCTGCGAGAATTACAGAGGCATCAAACTGCTTAGCCACACCATGAAGGTTTGGGAGCGAGTCGTTGAGTATAGGGTGCAGAAAGGGGTATGCATCTCTGAGAACCAGTTTGGTTTCATGCCTGGCAGATCGACTACAGAGGCCATTCATCTCGTGAGGAGGTTAATAGAAGAGTATAGGGCTAGGAAGAAAGACCTTCATATGGTGTTTATTGACCTTGAGAAGGCGTACGATAGGGTGCCGAGGGAGGTGTTATGGAGGTGCCTTGAGACGAGAGGAGTTCCCATCGTGTACACTCGCGCGATCAAGGATATGTACGATGGGGCTATGACCAGGGTAAGGACTTCCGGAGGCGACTCTGAGTCATTCTCGGTAGGGATGGGGTTGCACCAGGGTCTGCCCTTAGCCCTTTTTTGTTCGCATTGGTGATGGACGCCCTAACTCGAGGTGTTCAAGAAGGGGTCCCATGGTGCATGCTTTTCGCGGATGATATTGTGCTTATCGACGACACACGTGAGGGACTAAACGATAAGTTGGAACTATGGCGCCTTGCCCTTGAGACTAAAGGATTCAGAATAAGTAGGAACAAGACTGAATACATGGAATGTCGTTTTAGCGGTCGGGAAACAGAATCAGAAGTGGAAGTTAGGATTGACTCTCACCTAGTACCTAAGGACTAAGGTAGATAGGTTTCGATATCTTGGCTCGGTAATCCAAGCTGATGGGGAGCTAGACGGGGATGCTGGACATCGTGTTGGAGTGGCTTGGGCTAAATGGCGGTTAGCTTCAGGGGTGTTGTGTGATCCGAAAATTTCGCCCAGGATGAAAGGTAAGTTCTACCGATCCGTAGTCAGACCTGCTATGTTATATGGGGCAGAGTGTTGGGCGGTTAAGAAAACTCATGTGTGTCGTCTGCATGCGGCGGAGATGCGGATGTTACGATGGATGTGTGGGAAGACAAGGTTGGATAGGATTTCGAACGAAGTTATCCGACGTCAGGTAGGCTTGGCGCCGGTGGAAGATAAGTTGCGGGAAGCGAGGTTGAGATGGTTTGGTCGTGTGAGACGGCGGGATGCTGACGCCCCTGTACGGAGATGCGAGAGGATTACAGTTATCGAGGGAAGTAGGGGAAGGGGTAGACCTAGGAAGAATTGAAAGGAGGTGATTAGGCAGGATTTAGGACTTCTCACCCTGACTGAGGATATGGCCTTAGATAGAAACCTTTGGAGAACTAGGATTAGAGTAGCTGGATAGGAGCTCGGTGCTGTAGAGGTTGTTTTGTAGTGTCTTGTGTTTGATTGGAATCTTTTGCTATTGCTTGCAAGACATTCATTTCATTGTACTTGGTGCTTTATGGTGTTATACTGTGTCCCCTTTCATATTTCTGTGCAGGTTGAGCCGGAAGTCTCTTGGAAACAGCCTCCCTACTCCTGAGTAGGGGCAAGGTCTGCGTACACACACCCTCCCCAGACCCTACTGTAGTGGGATTCAACTGGGTTGTTGTTGTTGTTTAGCAGTCAAATACTATTTATTCTGTCAAATTAGATGCCCAATAATATCTGGTGGGACTTTGGGAATTGATAAATTGAGAATATCGTGTCGTACCTCATGAGTGAAGGGAGAGCTTGTTTGAACAGAATGGAGCGTAAAGAAGTTCTTCTATTTCTTACTTTCTTCTTTTACCTTTTCTTTCCACTCTATCTTACACTAGTTTCTCTCAGCTACTGTCCATTTGGTATTCAGATCCATATTGGAAGTGTTGTTTGAATTGCATGGTAGACATAATCTATGGATCTAGAGTATGAGATGAAGCACCCAAGATTTCTATTTGATCATCTTTAATGGATCTCTATGTTCGAGGTCATTTAGGAAATGAACTATTAAGCTCTCTTTACTATTATATCCAAAAGATTCAAATATGAATCCAAAATCAGTGTAGGAGCATATGGTGGGCAACAAGCTAATCAAGTAATCCTCAAGGCATCAAGTAACCATTGAAAATATCTATATAGAAGGATGAGGTTTGATTTGACTGAAATATTTATTTCAAAAGATGGAATGTATGATACTCAAAGATGTTGCGAATAAATGAGTTACTCCCTCCATCCGATAATAAGGTTCCCTTAAACGTGATCACATAAATTAAGTAAAAATGTGTGGTTAAGATTTTCTTAGAGAAGTTAAAAAATACATAGTATGAAATAATATCACCCAAACAATCATTTCGTGAGAAGGAATGAGAACTTTATATCGGGTCATCCGAACATCCAAATAAGGTGAAGTGAGAACTTTCCGGATGGAAGGGGTAATCAGCAGAATAACCTCCATTCAATTGTTTTTCAATGAACATATAGCTGAATTCGGTGATAATAATACCATCATAGCAGCGTTAAATGCTATATTCTTTTCATGTTTCCATTAACCTTTGCAATAGTGCATGCGATATCCGTGTCCCCGTGCATTTGGAGTTGACAGCTTTTCAGATAACTGAGCATCGATATAATTGCACTGAACAGGATGAGAAGTATTGGCCTCTCTTGCCTCCTTTGCCTTCTTATGGATATGGTAGAGAGCATCGTGGGCCACGCTATGGTAGTTTAATTCATGGTCAAAATCTCAAAGATGTTGTTATAACAGGTCAGGTTTTGTTTCTATCCTTTTATGACCTTTTTGGTCACTTTCTTGAACATGCATTTTCAGATCTTTTATACATGGGAGATCATTGTAAGCATGTGTGTTTTTAAAATAAGTGTATTTATTGTGATCATGAAGACACATTTGATGAATTAGTTCTACTAGCTGCTAGGGAGGCTAATCCTTAAATTTATAGTAGTTGGTTCTTAATTTGGTGACCTCTTACTCTCTTAGAAGTACCACATAACATGGCAATGTTTCTTACCTTTTGATTTTTTATTTTAGTTTTCCTTTAATTTGGAGATGATCACAATATCACATGTAACATGCCGTGTGCCTAAAAATTATCCACCTTGCTCACACCCCATGAAAGTTCTGAATGTCACTATTAAAGAATTCAGGATGATCACTCCAAACACATACACACTCATTGCAATTTTTTTTCTTTCTTTTGGCTGATAAAAATTACCAGTTCTCTATAATGTACTTAATTGGAGTTCCATCATCTCCGATGGAGCCAAAATTTCACCTGTTTTTGGCTTTGGGGTGTGATGGAATAAATCAAAATGGATATCTAAACTATTTGCGCTTCTTTAATTAATGAAGTAGCAGTTAGTCAAGCAATGCAACTTTCGACGTTGAGCCGGGGTCTCATTGGAAACAGCCTCTCTACTTTCGAGTAGGGGCAAGGTCTGCGTACACACACCCTCCCCAGACCCTACTCTTGTGGGATTTAACTGGGTTGTTGTTGTTGTTGTATAATGTACTTGGTTGGATTGCTTCATAAATATGCCACATCTTATATCAAAAGTTGCAATTATTATTTAATTCTAAACACAAGAGGTTATAACAAGTCAGTAGAATATACGTCTGTCCCACAAAAAACTTCCTACTTTCCCTTTTTGGATGAAAACATACAACAATAACAACATTATCCCCTCAATCCAATTAGGACTTAAAAAACACTCTACTTTTTATCCCCTCAACAATAACAACCCTTTAGGTACCCCCTCAACAATAACAACATTATCCCCTCAACAATAACAACCCTTTAGGTATCCACAAAAAACATTCTACTTTTTTCTTGTGTTTGGATTGTGGTAGTTTGATGGCCAGCATAAAACCCCATTACATCTATCCAATTCGGGTGACATTGTTCGATTTCCCATTAGCTATCGTAGCCGATTTTATTGAGCTGGATCTTACATTTTTCTTCTCCATGGAAAATTTCCAAACATGGTGTAAAGTAAAGGCAGGGAAATTTATGTTGCTTCACTCCTGGTTACAATCCTTAAAGAATAAATCAGTATAATCTGTGGTTATAACAGGTCACAATGGCACCATCAATGGGCAGGGCCAAACATGGTGGAAGAAGTATAGGCAGAAGCTCCTTAACCACACCAGGGGACCCCTTGTACAGATAATGTGGTCTAGTGATATTCTGCTCTATAACGTAACACTTCGCGATTCTCCCTTTTGGACCTTCCATCCATATGATTGCAAGAATGTTACCGTTAGAGACGTGACCATCCTTGCACCAACTACAGAAGCTCCAAATACTGATGGCATTGATCCTGGTGAAGTGTTTAATTTACCCATCACAGCACTCTTTTGCCAACTTTATATGTATTTAGAAATACTCCATCCGTCCCAAAATAAGCTTCACATTTCCCCTTTTTCCTATTAAAGAATGAAACACGTGGCTGACAAGTTCTCTTTCTTCGTTCATAGAATTTTTTACTCTGTGAGGTAAAATCATGAAGTTTATTTTGAGATGGGATGAAAGGAGTGCATATTTTTTTTATACGGAGTTACTGAACTGATTATTAATGACAATAAATAGATTCATGTGAAGATATGCTGATTGAGAACTGTTACATAAGTGTTGGTGATGATGGTATTGCAATCAAGAGTGGTTGGGATCAATACGGGATTGCCTATGCGCGACCTTCAAGAAACATACTCATACGAAACGTGGTTGTTCGTTCCATGGTCAGGTAAATCTTTACTTTTTTTTCACTCATACAACAACAAGCAACCCAGTAAAATCCCACAAAAGTAGAGTCTAGGGGGTAAGTTTTCGCCTTACCCATGGGAGGCCCGGAGGGTGTGCAAAGTGGCCAATCGCACAGGGCACCTTAAAATTTAGGGCACCATATTTTTAAATTTGTTAATAATTTTAAAGCAAAAGTATTCTAAAAATATAAAATAGGACACAAAATGTAAATTTTGGACCGGGCCAATTTTATTTTTTCATTTTTCGGGGCCGGCCCTGGCTTTACCCTTACTTGGAAGTAGATAGGTTGTTTCCTCTGGCTGAAAGTTTCTTAACCTCATCGACAGTGCTGGAGTATCAATAGGAAGTGAGATGTCAGGTGGGGTGTCGAACATCACAGTTGAGAACCTCCACGTGTGGAGCTCGAGACGCGCAGTCCGGATCAAGACAGCCCCCGGCAGAGGAGGGTACGTCAAGGGCATAACATACCAAAATCTGACATTTGAAGATGTCCGCGTTGGGATAGTCATAAAGACAGATTACAACGAGCACCCGGATGACAAATTTGACCCTAAAGCCCTTCCCATGCTACAGGACATAAGCTACACGTCAGTCCACGGGGAGGGGGTGCGGGTCCCAGTCCGTCTCCAGGGTAGCGAAGAAATCCCCATTTGGAACGTCACCTTCCGGGACATGTCGGTCGGGGTAGCGTACAAGAAGACGAAGCACGTTTTCCAATGCGGTTTCGTTCAAGGACGCGTTATAGGTACCGTTCACCCTCCACCTTGCGTGAACCTTGACTTGTATGACGAGCAAGGACGATTGATCTGGGCATCGGATGCCCAAAATGTTTCGGACATTGATTATAGCATCTGAGAATCTGAGATTTCACAATCAATTTCATCATATATATATCAATGTAAACGTGCCCTTTGTGATTCTTTGTATGTACAGTTAATGTATCCAAAACACAAATCAATAGCTTCTACAACAATATCAAACCCAGTAATATCCCACAAACAATAGGATGTAGGCAATGTGCCTATGCCTACAAATTGTGTAGACTAAATTCGAAAGTAGAAATGTTGTTTCTAGGATACTATGGCTCAAACATAGAAATACAAATAAAGTAAGCATAATAGCATAGATAAAGTAAGAGCAGAGAGACAAGAAGCACACTTACCGGTTGTGCTACTTGCAAACCACTAGTATACCCCACTTTGTATACCAGTGCTTTGCACTACCAAAACACTAATACATACTAGCACGAAATGTCATTGCAAACATTATCTATCAATCACACTAGTATTCTTTGCTAGTGTATACCGGTGCTTTGCCAGTGCAAACTGTTACAAAATAGAGTATATTTGATGGGGTAACACTAGCATTATTCTACTAGCACTGGCAATTACACCCAAAACACAAGAAGCGCACACACACAAGCTATAGACAAAAGTAAAAGTACACCATTGTAAACTACAAACTGAGGGCTTATAGATTCACCTGATTGCAATAATCATAGATTTTTAGATGTTCTTATCTAAAATAATATCATATATAGAAATTTTGAGTCCTGACTAATAATCTCGTACTCCTCTCAAGCCCCCAACTCAATGTCGTCTATGAAATGCAAAAAAAAACTTGTTTTTTATTTTTTTGAGCACTAAAATAAACGTTATAAATCATTTGAAATGATGCAAAACAAACACTTGGCAAATTCGCTAATTTTAGAAAATCTTGCATCGCAATATGAGGGAGGGTTGCTTTCGCACAATAAAATATGTATACTTTGACAAACACTTTAAAAAAGATATAGAGTATAATGTTAAAAAGATATGCATATTAAAATGGAGGGAGGGTTGCTTTTGCATAATTTTTTTTATATAATATATTAAATTAAATTAAAATAATAATTGAAATTAAAAATGTATGGTTGAAAATGAAGCAGAGGAGAGAAAAATATTATGAGGTACTCAAAATTTTTTTATAAAACAAATGTAAAAGATTTTTTTAAAACAAATTTTGTTTTTAAAACAAATATTGTGAGCTACTCAAAACTATTTTTTTCAAGGACGAACGCGGTAGAATTTAAATATGCAAATAATAAAAATGAAGATGAATATGACCAAATAAACTTTTTGGAGTAATGAAAGAATGCGCATGTGCTCTTAATAATGTGTGAGACTTACAAGGAGGCGTGTATTGGTCGAACGTGGAGAGAAGACAGCAAAACACACTCTTGGAAAGAAATGAGTTCGCCGGAGGCTGTGGATTCCGGCAGGTTCTCCGGCCAGAAGTCGAACTTCTCTCAGACGTGCACTCTCTTGAGCCAGTACTTGAAAGAAAGAGGCTCTTTTGGGGATCTCCATCTCGGTATGTATAAATATATATATACACGTCTCCCAGACATTCTAGGCCTTTCTTATTTACTTAATTTGGCATGCTTTTAATGTTCTATCTCTGTTTGAAAGGATTTCTGTTTCAAATCCCTTGATTTGTTTCCTTGTGTGAAAAATAGGGACACCCAACACGACCCAGACAATGAATCTGCTGCCCATGATTGAGAAATCGGGTCCTGGTACCAGACCTGTGACCCGGTTCACTAATTTTGGATCCAAGCAAGAAGAGACCACCAAGAAGATCTGTTCTAGGTTTGGGGTTTTTTCCTTAATCGTCTAAAGATTCAATCTTTACCTTATTTCCTCGTTACCCTTTCTTGTTCTTGTTTAATTAGGTTTGGGGTTTTCCTTGATCTTCTAAAGATTTAATCTTTACTGAATTTCCTCATTAATCTTTCTTGTTCTTGTTTGATTTGGTTTGGTTTGTTGGAATTCAGTACTGTGGCGAAAGGAGGAGAGGCTGAGAGCTCACAAATGACAATATTCTATGGAGGTCAGGTGTTTGTCTTCAATGATTTTCCGGCAGAAAAAGCTGAGGAAATTATGGTTTTGGCTAGCAAAGGAAGAACCACAAACAATCCCAATATCTTTTCCTACAACAACTCAACATTGCTGCCCTCAAAACCCGCCGAATCTTCTTCCACAACAGTTTCTATCACTCTTGGGAACCAGAAACCAGTTAACCCCATTACTACATCTGGTAAACCCTTGTTCTTGATTCTTGATTCCCTGTTTTTTATATGCTGAGTGTGATCATATTCACACATTCTTGGGTTTATGTGTGAATGGTGTCGCTTTGCAGACTTGCCCATTGCGAGGAGGCATTCGCTTGCCAGATTCTTAGAGAAGAGAAAAGATCGGTGCGCATTCAAAAGATCACATCTTTTTATTTAGTTTCTTCAATGTGAGACTATATCCTCAACACAATTGACATGGCGCACTTGAATCGCAGGATCACTTCAAAGGGACCGTACCAGATGATGGGCAGCAACACCATGGTGGTTTCTTCATCCAAGCCAGAAGAGAGCAACAAGGCTTGGCTGGGATTAGGAGGAGCCCAAATTACGGTCAAAATCGAACCCCAATCTTAACTTCTTTTTTCCTAATTTGGGATTTGATGATCAATCACTGCATTATGTTTGATGTGTAAAAACATTAATTAATAGCTTAAACACCTAATCTATGGTTCAAAGTTACTCTCTTTGAGATCGACAAAACAACAAATCAAATCAATGTTCATACCGTTGCGATCTCAACGGTGTGATGTTAGGACAAGGATACAGTCCCACATTGAACATTTAGTCTAAAAAAGAATAATATTATATGGAGTATATAAGAGTGAGAAAAAGACTAAACTAGGATTAAACATGGCAAAAGTACCAAAATATGAACTTTATATTTTTATTTCCAAAATAGGACCAAAAAATATAGTGGGATGTCATAATGTCACGGTGCAAACTACTATTTTGGAGATAAAAATGTGAAACTCATATTTTGAGGATAAGTGCTACGTTTTACTCTTATTTGGGACGTTTTCTTTATGAGGATATGAGTTACTACTTGCTCTTCTTATTGCCAATTTGCAATTGGTTCTGTATTGGAATTTTGTAGTTCTTCAAAACACTAATCAAATTGGGATTTGTAAAAGTGTCAATTGGTGTGATTAAACCAAGGGACTGTTGGCCTTACTTTCTAGGGATCACATTGAAAATGTGTGTTTTATGCTTTGTATTATTTAATTATTAGGGTAATTAGTCTTTCGTGTAGGTCAAATTTCAAATCTCGTCATTAATTCATTGACAATTTCCTCCCTTTATTCTATTCTTTTTTTCTTGTTTTTGTTGCTGGGTACAGAGTATGTGTGTGGGGTTGGGAGTTTGGGTATAGGCTTTAATGGGTAGGCATCAAATTGATTTTGATTTGAATATCATGGTCGGTTTGGGTGGAAATTATATTCCCATTTCTTTTTTAATCTGTCTCAAAATATATTTTATTTTTCTACCTTTAGGAAATAGAAACTTGTATGTGGTTCATCTTTTTCCTTAAACTATACTCCCTCGATCCTAAAATTTTTTTCTGTTTTGACTTTTTTGGTTAAATAATAATATTCTTTAACCATAAATTAAACATAATTTAAATAAATAAATGATATAAAATTTAATATATCAAAATTATATCTTGAGATGATTTCAATTATGGTCAAATTATATCTTGAAATTAAATTTACTTTTTCTCATAATTTATGGTCAAAATGTGTCACTGTTTGACTAAAAAAATTAGAATAGGAAAAGTTTTTAAGAGTAGAGGGAGTATATTCTTTTTCTACATTCTTAATGCTTGTATGTGGTTCATCTTTTCCCTTAAAATATTTTTTCCCATCTTCTTTATATATTTAATAAAGTTGAAAATTCCCAACTGGAAGTTGAAACACGAATGTAAAAAAACCAAATAAAATAAACAAAATGGAAGAAAGACTAAAATAGGACTAGAACATTGAAAATATACCAAAATAGGATTTTCATGTTTTTATTCTTGAAATAGAACTTACATTACTTATACATGGTCATATATATTACCAAAAAAGTATAATAATTTGCACATGTATACTGCCACATTATAACATGACAAAGTCACATTACCACAGTGCAAAGTCTCATTTTGGTATTTTTCTTTATGTTTTAGTCTTATTTAGGGTGATTTCTAAAACATAATTCCAAAACAATAGTTATGGGTATATCAAGTGGTATCCAAAGTTGTACATCACTCTTGTATTCACCCCAAGTTGTACAAACTAAAATCAATAAAGCTAGAGGTACACTAAAATAGTGTACGCATTTGTACCACCACACCAATATACACAACACAAACACAATCTCTCTGTGATCCACAGACACATAGTGATTGTGTTTATCTGGTGTACAAATGAGATATATCATTTTGATTTTCCAAAAAATGGTCATGACCCAACAAAAATGCTTGGGGTATAACTTTTAATTATATAAATTAATTTTTAAAACTTTACTTTTCAAACATTAAAGTTAGACGCTCATGTTGTACTGCAGTAAAAAAACGGTCTTAGTCTAAATTGGAAATCACTACTACCTCCATTTCGAATTTTAGTAACTTGTTTATTTATTTTCACAAATTCATTATATTTTCTATGTCCCAATTTGAATTGCCCATTTCAATTTAAATGTTTGACTGAAATTATTTTTAATTCGTTTTGTATCAAAATTGTATGAAATTTAAAGCTAAAATTTATATATTTGAAAATCATATACGGAATATAAAGTTCTACTAATAAGAGATGACATGAGTATGCTATTTAATCAAGTAAGTATTGAAAAATGGGTTATAAAAGTGGTTAAAGTTTGACCATTTAAATAGTGAACAAATAACTTAGATTGAGACGGATGGAGTATAAAAAGTCATGTCACCTCTTGTCTTGTAGAACTTTTTATATTCATTTTTAATTTATAAATTTTATTTTTAAGTTTACTACGTACTACAATGTGAGCGAATCATGCTATTAATAGTGCGTATTGTACCCCTGTCCATTTTGTTGTCTAGTGTGAGAGCATGAGAACCGAAAGGTTATGCCTAGGGATCCAAAATTAGATGCTACGGGTGAACATCGATATTTAGTATCATTATCACATTGAACAATGTTTAATAGTAGTATGAAATTGATTTTTCACAAAGGCTAATAATGTATTTAGATCAAAATAAGCATGAGGTTTATGACAAAGAGAAAAAACCCATGAGGGCATTCAAATTGGGGCGAACTCTCGCCATGCCACATCACATCCTTCCCCTTTTCAACTTCATCCCAAAATACTTGCAATGTTATCGTTCTCTTGTCCTACTTCTTTGTTTGTTTTACATTATTCTATATTTTTAATTAAAACTTAAATAAATTTAAATAAAAATTTAAACCATTACCAAGAATGATATATGATGGTAAATTCAAACTTTGAGAAAAAAAATACGTGAAACAGTATGCTGTTAGAAGTGATATAGTGTGAGGCACCGATATCCATGTACGATGTAGATTCATAGAGAGACATGGTGTCACAAGAGTGAGCAAGGGCGGTGGTTGTGAAGGGGTAGGTGATGGTAAAAATAATTGGAGAGATCGTCCTTCATGGACTCAAGGAGGTCAAAAGTGAAGATGAATTATGGTAGAAAAAGGTACATAGATTCATCAAAGATGTCATGACGGGAGACAATAACTCTGTTAGTTTGGCGATCTAGACAATGGTAATTAAACACGTTGGTTTGAGGGGTAGCCAAACTCAATGCAGTTTATTTATCTTTTAACCCAGTTCAGCATCAGCGTACAAAGTATGTAGAAGTGGATATATACACTTTGTTCGGGACAAAGTTGCGTTGGGCCATATTCGAGTCATGCACGTTCCATGCATGATGATCCTCTCAGTATGCGGACATCTTCATGAAAGGACAATTGTCTCAACTTTTTTGCTGACTTCATACACAATCTTGGCATTCATTCTATACCGCCCAGATAGTTGGGAGCATGTTAGATATATTATATTTAATATAGTATCTTAATAGCTTCCACCTTATCTACTTAGCCATATTTGTTATAATTTATGGACTCTTCCAAATTCATGTATATATTCCCTTGTCCTCACCTAATCACCTATTGGAAAAGCATTGGAAATATAAACCTTTTGCATAGAATAATCAAATAAATTAAATTGAAATTAAAATTGTCAACTCTCATAATCCACAATGGATAATTCAAATTCAAACAAAGGGAGTACATTAGTACATCCATACAAACCATATTGGCCCCATGGATGATATCGGCCTTGTTTGGGAAGAGCGTTTTCAATTAGCGTTAGCGTTTTATATAAAGGCTAGCGTCAAGTAACTTTTTCAAAATGGCAACGCTAATTTCTAACGCTAATATTACTAGTATTAATGTTTGTTAGAACAAATCTTGAGAGGAAGTCTTACATTATGTTTGGCTCAAGGATTTTGGAAAGAAAAGAAAAGAAAATTGTTTTCTTTCATTTTCCTCACCAAAATGGAAGGAATTTGATTTTCTCTCTACTTGATGCATTTTACCTCCTCATTTTCTTTTCCTTCCACTTTTCCTTTCTTTTCCCCTCTAACCAAACAAGAAAATGGTTTTCCTTTTCAAATTCCTTGAATCAAACATCATGTTATCCCAAACATGATTATCTAAGTTAATTTGTATCTAATTGGATTTGTTTTCCCATTTCGACTTAGGACATTATGTGCACGTTTGTCTTAATCTTTTCGTACTCAAAAGCAACACTTTACATTATATTTTGATGAAGTCGAAAAAATTAATGAAAATGAGATTTGGGACAAAACAACTAGTCCCATTGCTACGTGAGGCGTAAATTACAATTTTTAAATATTAACAATAAATACAAAATGATTTTTGGTGAATAAACTTTTTTCATATATAATAGCGAGTTATCGCCTTATAGGGTACGTGATGAGAAAAAATATAAGAAATCATCTTAAATAGGACTAAAACATAGGACTAAAACATAGAAAAAGTACGAAAATAAAAGTTTTATGTTTTTATTTCCTAAATAGAAGTTCGCATTGTGTTAATGTGACACTGTACATGTGCCTTTTACGTAATGTACATGGTCAAGATTGGTAAATACCTTTTAACTCCTATTTTGAGAATAAAAACATGGAACTTTTATTTTGATATATTTTCAATGTTTTACTCCTATTTTAGTCTTGAATCCAAAAAACATTCATTAAAAATTATTTTTCATTGAATAAATTATTTTCAAGTAAAATATTTTATACGGAGAAGAGTTGAATTACCTTGGTGAACACAATAATAAACCAAATATGTAAGATAATGATCTCAAATAATAATTCAAAACAATCAAAAATAAAAATTTAAATGCATTAATAGTAAATTTGTACATTTTGTGAGTATTTTATTTGTGACTATTGTCTAATACTCCCTCTGTCCTAAAACTTTCTTCCCAGAGCACTATTCCAACTTCACGGGAATTTATATTTATTTGTGTTTTTTCATGGCCTATATGATAAAATAAAATATTCTTGTCACCACTTATTTTGTTGAACTTTTGATGTAGTTTTTAAATATGTATGTTTTATTTTTTATTTCTATATCAATATTTAAATAAAATTGATTGAAAAAACTTGGAATTTTTCTTCATTTTGCGCAACGGAAAGAAAAATATAGGACGGAGGAAGTAATAAATAATACGGAGTAATAAATAATGTACTCCCTCCGTCCACAAATAAACTTTACGTTTACTATTCATAGGGTCAAACTTTATTCACTTTGTTAGCCTATTTTCGTCACCCATTTGATAAAATAATATAGTCATGTCACCTCTAGTTTTATAGATCTTTTGATATAGTTTTTTAATATGTAATTTTTATTTTTCAACTCTACACCATTTTTCATATAAAATGATTTGAAAATAACTTCGGTCAAATATCGTAATGCGTAATGTAAAGTTTATTTGTGGACGGAGGTACTTCCTAAATAAATGGCTCCCTCTCAGTGTCCTTATCCGTTTGACTCGAAACAATGCTTTTTATAAAAAATTTGACTGCGTATTTGATGTTTATCTTCTTTATCGATCGGCT